GTACTTCCACTATTATTTTGGAAAGGAGAACTCAGTGCCTGAATGACATTGACAACAATGTACTAGGTCCAACGTATTTGACATTGACTAAATGAACACGAGCGGAAGGAACGCAAATTAACGTTATTGCCGCGGAGCCAAAGTTTTGAAATTTAAAAATGTAGGTAATACATTACAATACATAAACAATTCGTTATTCTCAGGTTTTTATTTGAAATTGAAATAATACTGGATATTAATAATTTAAAAATGGGGGACGATCCAATACACGATAGCGAAAACACTCAAACACAAACCCAAAACTCACAAGTAGATTGGAGTCAGCAAAATACACCAGCCACAATTCCAAATATTTGGGGAAGATTGTATTCTACAAAGGTATCAATTAATGGTAAATATTGTTGGAAACAAGAATATCAACCTGAATATATCGGTAAGTTTCTATACGAAAAATAATGTGGAGGCGTGTAATTGCTTTTTTTCCTACCTGCTGATTTTTTGCAAGCAATGCTTACATTTCACATTTACCTATAATTCGTTATTTCCCATTTTATTAGATCTTATACAACCCGAATTCAGCTTGGGTAGATCATTCAACTGCACTTTCATAATGAGAAAAGACAATATAAAAGAGAGTATTATAAGGAATGTGAGCAAGCTACACTTTGTTATTAAGAGAAATCTATCGTAAGTAAAACTTTGTAGTCAACAAGTAAATAAATAACAAATAAGATTTATGGATGTAATTTTATTTTATTTTTAAATCAATAGTTCACTTCAATTTATGTATCGTATCTTGATTTTAGTGAACTTCTAAGCCCTGCTATAATAACAGACCTGTCACACAATGGTACCTTTGTGAATGGCGAAGACATAGGTAAAGGAAACAGTAGAGTTCTAGATGACAATGATGTAATATCAGTTACTCATCGTATTGTTAAAAGTAAGTTTATGTAATAAGAGTAACAATTTACATATAATAAAATATTTATACTTCAATGGTTCATTAAGACAGTTCCAAGCTTGTTGTTTTTTGTTTTGTTTTAATTTATGTTTTTGATTTTGTTTTCAGTTTTTATATTTAAAGACTTATTGAAAAATGAACAATACCAAGTACCTAAAGAAATTTCACAAAAGTATTATATCTCAAGGGTTTTAGGGCAGGGGGCTTGCGGCCTTGTTAAATTAGTTTATGACAAGGTAATAAAAATAATCCAACTATAACTTATGGTGTGGGGTTGACAGAATTTACACTATTCACTGTTTAAATATTATTTTAAATATCTATTTGTATCAGTTATAAAAGTTTTTATGTTATAAAAGTATTTACAATACTTGAAAGTAGTTGAGGTAGTTGAGAATTTGCAATATTTTAACACAAGTCAAGTTTGAAGTCATCGAACTTTCCACATTGTTTGCATTGGTATTCGCTGATTATTAATTATAGTAATAACAATATAACACTAACACCATTGTGCAAAAATAACAATATAATAATGTCAAATCCATTTTGAATTTTAGAAAAAAATAAAATACATAATTATCCATTTCATACTTTGATTTGTTGCATTACCTACTTTTTACAATGTAAGAAACAATTACTTTTTTATGTTTAATATTTGTACATGCTATTTCAGATAAAATGCACCAAGCATGCCATGAAAATTATAAAAAAAAGTAGACTTACAAATGGTCAAATTAATCACATAAATAAGCCCGCTAAAATTATGAACGAGATCAATATAATGAAAGCACTCAGACATGTGAGTTTTCTTTCTTTGTTGCCAAATCTCAAACTTAGCAATGAAGTAACAAAGTTTCGCTACCAATCAATTTTCTTAACAATTACTAATAATTACTTTATTATATCATGAATTCTGTGCAATATTTTAATCCATTTTACATACTTGGATAAAAGACTGACTAACTAAAGAAAGCTATGGGGCTGCTGCTGCAATGATGAATGAATTTCAGTTAATCTTAAACTATTGATTGGCATATTGACCGCCACAGCACTTTCAAATACCAGTCCCAAAAGCTAATTGAAATTAATCATATTATTAAAAATGTTAACTATTGTACAAATCAATCAATTCCATGTTTTTCTCGTGTCTTTATAAACTCTCTTCTGAGACAAATTATATTATACTAATCTAATTTGAAATAAAAAAAATTTTATTTACATAGTATTTGTAGTTAAACGAATTTCAAAAAATACGTCATAATATGTGTAATTAAATTCATAAAAAAAATATTTTTCAGCCTTGCATTATTTCAATAGAAGAAGTTTTCGACTCTCGCGATGCTGTGTATATTATTTTAGAACTCATGGAAGGCGGTGAACTGTTTGATAGGATAACAAAATTTAGTCACTTGACAGAACCATTAACACGGTTTATTTTCCGACAAATGGTACTTGCAGTCAAGTACTTGCACTCTCAGGGTATAACTCATCGGGATTTGAAGGTAATTTATTTTTTTGTCTGATTCAACCATCATTATCTGTAGACAAGATTATATATTTTTTTTATGTATTCCTTTAGAAATATACATTTACTTAACTGAAAAAATGCAACACTTAGAATGCATGTGCAATCCTTTTGGTTTCCTAATTTGTTGTTTATTAATATGCCAATACTCATTAATGTTTTTTTCAAATACACGTCATGAAAGTACATAAAGTTTCTGCCAGTTCTCAGGCTGTTCAGATTAAATTCCATAACATATAGTTTAAAAGTAAAAACGTTTAAACCAAATTAAATTTTGTTTGTAGCCTGAGAATGTCCTGTTGGAAGGTGACGAAGACGAAACATTAGTGAAAATTACTGACTTTGGACTGAGTAAGTTTGTAGGAGAGGACAGCTTTATGAAGACAATGTGTGGGACACCATTGTATCTGGCTCCAGAAGTGCTCAGAGCTAACGGACAAAATACTTATGGACCAGAGGTTGATGTTTGGAGTCTAGGAGTCATATTCTTTGTATGGTAATTGTTTATTTAAAGAGTACATAGGTACTTTCAGTGCATGCCAAAATATACTATTTGTCTGCTTAAAATATACAATTATGCAAATATGCAATCTGCAATTTTTATGCTCAGCAACAATATAGGTAATCTTTTGTCCCAAAATTTAATTGTAAAAAATTTCTATTTGGTCACATTATCCAAAACTAGTAAGATATGAATTTACAATATTATTTACTATTTTTCTTTATTTATGTATTTCTTATTTACTTTGTGATTAATAACTTCTAAAAGTAGACCTTTTGGACAATTGAAATGAATCTTAATTTACTTAGTAATCGTGAAATTAACATGGTGTGAGCTAAAATAATAACCAATCGAACTGAAATAATATAATATAAATTAACTTTTACTAGCCTTGTGGGTTATTTACCCTTCTCGCACGACTACAAAGAGATGTCACTCAAGAACCAGATATTAAATGGACAATACAAGTTCTCACAGGCTCACTGGAAGAATATAAGCTTGCAGGCCAAGCTGCTTATGAAAAGAATGCTCACAGTGCAAGTCAGCAGGAGGATAACCCTTGATCAGATACTGAATCATGCTTGGATGCAGGTAAATCCGTTCCCAATCTATTTGAAGTTAGTTTTTGACTAAAAAACGTTTGAAAAAAACGATGGTTTGTTTGACCACATCTATACACCGATTCGAACGCAAACAGAAACAGTCAACTAAAGCATGTTATATTTTTATACATTTGCCAACAAGCAAGTGATTCAAATGCAATCATCTCAGTTTGCCATTAACAATAGTCTTAATTAACAAATTTCCAGCAGTGATTACTTCTTCTTCTTCGTCGCTTTCTTCATTGCTGAAGGTCGTGTCCCTGAAACTTGACCGTTGCCTGTCTCGTGAGCTGTTTCCATCTCGTCCGGTCCTCAGCTGCTCGAATGGCGGTTGCGACTGGCAACCCAGTTAGAGCGGTTACTTGATCACACCAACGGCTAGGCAATCGGCCGCGGGGTCTCTTTCCTTCTACTTTGCCCGTCATAATCACTTGGAGCCCATAGACATCCACAACGTGTAAATGCGCCACCCACCTGGAGATATAAGTTGTAAGGTCTCAAGTATAGTTGCAACGGCTGCCTTCAAACCGAAACGCATTACTGCTTGCATTATGAAATGAATAAAGATGAAAATCTACATGTAATGAAATTTCGAAATCTTTGTAAAGAGAAAAAAGATATTTTTTACAGGACGTTGACACGATTATAAGGGTTGAGAAACTTCTATCACACACAATCCGCTCTAAGGGCATGAAACAGGCGACAAATAGTACCACCGGTGACGGCGACGACAATGTCCGTAACAGCACGGTGGCCATAATACAAGTGGTAGCCGCGGGTAAGCGAGCCCTCAGCGACACGTTCTGCGCAACCGAACCGAACGCAAAAAAATTTAAAATAGCCTTGACCAATGACGACGAAACTAGTTCCACAAACAGTTATTGCTCAAATGCTTAACTATTTCCGAATCAAAGATAAATTACTGTGTTAATGGCGGTAATGTTAGATTTAGTACGATCGAACTATTAAGAAATGTGTTTGATGATTATTATTTTCTTTCAGACAAAAATGTGATTTTTTTTTATCCCACCTAAACGTGTAGTGTATTGAGTTTTGTTAAGTTTTTAATTACTATGCTTTGGAATTTTATGATTCTATGTGATATTCTTTAAGTTTTTAGTATGTTGTCGTTTTTTTAAAATCCTAATAATTTTTTAATCCAATTATTGCTATAACGAGCCATGTGGTTTGATATTTTCATTGATCCTTATATGAATCTGATAGTTTTTAAAGAGTAGGCGCAGACTTAAATTGATTTTATTGTTCTTTAAAGTTCCTTGTAATGGTTAGGTGCGTGATTAGTAAATGTGCCATAAATTCAGTTAATTATTGTGGAAATAATTAATGTTGAATTAGTTTTACGAACAATAAAACGAATGATTCAAAAATAATTATTTTTATTTCAATTCCATAAATGAAGCTTTAACTGTATATGTATGTACATAAACATATTTGTTTAAGTAGATAATAAGTTAGGCATACATTAAATTAATTCAGTCTTATTGAATTCTGTACAGTTTAACCTAACAAGTTTCTAGTATTATTACAGACTACAACAAATACAATAATATTGCTTCTTTATTTAGTAAACAGCACTTCCCTTTTCACTAACACTAAAAGGCAGGTTGTTACATTTATACTAGGTAATTATTCTCATTGTGTTCGTACTTTTTTAAATAAAGGAACTAACAATTATCTTAAGTTAAACCGTACGAATATCCTCGTATGCATATACCTTTGAAAAAGTACTAACGTTTCACAACGCGCTATCAATATCTGATCGACGAATTTAAGACATTCAATGTATACAAATTAATTCAATAACGAACTAGAGAAGTGGAATAGAATAAATTATAGGAATATTCGAGAACAGCCTAGTTTCTATGTTTCAAATGATTTTTTTAATGAATACAACTATAATTAATTTCATCTACGTGATTTTATTTATTAGGCACAATTAGGTTTAAATTTAAATAAGGACATATAATTCATTGAGGTCTATCTAGATTAAATTTAAATAAAATTTTATACACACAACACATTTATCCCAACAATTATTGATCGATCCCACCACTGTTCAGCATTATGCTTTACAAATCAGTCTTAACAATGTGACAGCGAAGTAACTACGCCTATGTAAAGAAGTACGTCGAATAATACGAGTATCAAAGCGGAACACGTTAAAACATTTCCCATTCAAGATTGATACAAGGCAAACCGCGGATACTTAACTGCAATATAAACTGCTCTTGGTTTGTGAAAGTTCAAATTCCTCTCACTATTTATTTATGACCAACTTTAAAAATGTGTGTTCTATTCGCCGGCTACAATGTCTTCGTGTGCTGAAGCGTGGGACGGCTCCGTGTGCTGTGCTTCTGCTTCTGTAAGGGGAATCAAAATTAGAAAAAAAAACACGTGTACCACTCGGGGACTGCCGCGGCAAAGCTATTGCATAGCATTTTTTATCAACTTATGCAATTATAATTAGACAATAATAATTTAAAATTAAAACAAAAGCAAAACATTCATTGTCCCCTTCACACTCATAAGCTAGACCGCGCGAAAGAGATGGGCAGACTTTTCGTGATGCGCATGCAGTGCGACGTCACGCCGCGCGCTTAGCCACAAACACTACACAAGCGCAACGTGTGAATGTGTTGAAAGCGAGCTACATGGTAGGCGGGGTGGGGGTGTTAGGTTTTATTTTCGTTACGGAATTTCTTGATTCGGTCGCCGCGCCCGCGATAAAAGCTATGCAATAGCTTAAAAAAATGTTTTTGGCGAAGCGTCCGGAAGCATACAAGCTAGACACTCACCTAAATATTTAAACTATTTTTGAAGTAGCTGAAACAATATGAAGAGGAAGCATAACACAGATCTACTGAGAAGCTAATATTGTTAAATATTGGATTAAATATTATAATTTAACAGGGCCCATATTTCGATATCTTCGTTTTACAATTTACGTAATTTATCAATAAATTATATTATTTAGTTACGAAAACACAAAATACGCCGTGTACCCATTAAAACAATAAAAAGATATTCTGAAAAGCTGATTTTAGCTGATTCAAAGGTTTTTGAAGAACTTTTACACAAAGAAAGCGATGATAGTAAATTCAAAACTATCCTAGACGCCACAAGCTATATTTAAAAATATACATATATGTTTTTGAAACTGACCTGCAATGGCTCTGTCCACTTTTAGTTTGTCCCTGACAATGTACGCCGATGTTATAAGGAAGAATATTCCTCCGAGTACTTCCACGAAGCACGTTATGAACAGCGCATACTGAAGCGCTCTGAATTCCACACTTTTACTTGGCAAATCATCCGGTGATGGCATCAAGTAGGACTTCAAACTTTCTGATATCTGAAATGTTTTATTTTAAATAAGTTTTTTTTTTTTCATAATTGAAGAAACGAATGATGATTTTAATTATCTGCAAGATAATGTATGCTTACTAATCGTTTAAAATTAGGATAATTTACTAATTCAACTTTTTAATAAGTCCTTGGCAACTTACAACTCCGACTAAGTATGGACTTCCAGCATCCCCAAACATGTGCGATATTAATATCTGGAAAGCTTCTGCTGTCGAACGCCTTGGTGGTATGACAACGTACTGAAAGGCAAATTGGCATAGTGAGCACCCGAAAAATACATAATTGCGAAAAGTAAATTTTAAATTGATTTCATTTAAAAAAATTACATAGGATAGTTATAAAATATAATAAATGGGGCTTTTAGGGGGCTTTTTAGGCCTGTTTTAGGCTGTTTAGGCTATTTAGAAAGACGTCCGGTGCCCTCGTATATTATATCGACCATATATCGACTTATTATCGACCATAATTAGGTTTTATTCTCGTGCAATCATCAATATCAAAGGCATTATTTTCAGGACGAATAGTAGATTAGATTACAGCGTTATGGAAGATTTTATTGTATAGATAGGTGCTATGTACATATTTCCTTAGGAAAATTAGTGCCCTGCATGCGGGATTTGAAAAGTCGCATCACTCCATACAAGTACAACGGACGTCGTCCTTTAGACCACGGGCGCGTCAAAACTTTATTGACCGTTTTAATATAAAATAAAAGTTAAATCAGCAAAAATTTTAATTTCTATAAATAGAGATTACAAGAGATTTTATAAGGTTAGTCCACCAGTACCCCGCACATTTCTATTGCGAAGCAATGTATTCCGATTTGAACGGTGGGATTGCAGCTACAATTGAAACTTAAGCTTCATTTCTCAAGGTGGTTGCGGGATTAACTTTGTGATGTCTATGGACTCCGGTAACCACCTAACATCGAGTCTATGCAAGGAAATAAATATTTGGTATTCTACTCAAGTAAATATATTCTCCACATAGTTGATTTTAATAAACTACCCATTTCAGAACCAAACTCTACTACATACATGTGTTCATTCAAATGCATAAAAAAGTACACACATACACACACACACACACACACTCCATTTTCATATATAACATAAAATAAAACTCGCAATATTCGTCAGTTAGTTCTAGTTCTACTACAAATTTGGCGTTGGTTAAGAGTTATTGAATTTTGGTAAATGAAACTAAATTGACTATCTACGAACAAATGTTTTAGTTCATTAATAAATACATTGTATAATGAATAGGTACATTTTTAATCATATTTTTTACAAAAACTGTTAACAGAATTATTGAATATCTAAAAAAAATGTAAAGATGATAAATGAGTCGTCTATTATCAAAGGTGGCAATCTGTGCATTTGGACAAAAAATTGTTATTGATATGGCGATACAGATTGATTTGAATATAATCGTCTCCTTCAAAGAATACGGTTCAAAACCTGCATTAAATAAAGGTTAATACTTAACCTGTTATTTATCTAAGATGTCGTTCAGAAGAGTTTTGTGACTGCCAATGGAATACGAAGTCAANGAATATAATCGTCTCCTTCAAAGAATACGGTTCAAAACCTGCATTAAATAAAGGTTAATACTTAACCTGTTATTTATCTAAGATGTCGTTCAGAAGAGTTTTGTGACTGCCAATGGAATACGAAGTCAATAATTCGTTTTTCTGATTTACCAATAATTGTCCAAAAGTCACATTGCCGGCTTTGATAATAGTCGACTCAAATACTGCTTATCATTATTTTGTTTTGAATATAATTTAGGATGTAATGTTATGTATAATGTACCCACGTAATTGGACACTAGAATAAAAAATTATAAATTGGAGTATTTTGTTTAATACTCTGATTCAGAGAAGTTAATTAAAAAATAAACATTGCAGTATTAAAATTGATTTTGTAAGAACTATAATTTAAAACAGTGCCATCTATTGAAACGAGATAAAATCACTAAAATCAAAATCACCGCAGAGCTGCCATTTGTTTCACTACATTTTCAAGAGATGGCGCTGTGAAATAATATATTGAAACCAGCACCCCTCCGAACTTTTAAAAATTCCAATGAGATACAACATCAACCGAGAAAAATTCTATCAACACCATTATAACAACCAGGCAATAGTGAACCGTCATGTGCGAGCAAGTGTCTGATTTCAATTCTACGCATAACATAAAACTGATATACCCAAAAGAGAAAATGAATCATGCTAGAACAAGTATACATCAATCATGCAGTCCCAAAACTTAGAGAACCCAAAACATAACAAACATCTACTAGAGCAAAACAATAAAATAAATAAAAAGCTTCCGTGCGTCTCCGGGAGCGCATCTTACCAGCGACATGTCGGCCACGATTGCCCAGTTGATATTGATCGCGAGCTCGCCGATAAATATGAGGGCGAAAGGGGCGTACATGTAGCCCTCGGTCAGAAGCAAGGCGAGCGCGACCGCCGGCGCCGACAGCAGCAGCCCCGCGCCGCACAGCAGCGGGTGCGCGCGGCCCCACCGCTTCTGCAGCCCCGCGCCCAGCCACGCGCCCAGCGGCACGCCCAACATGCCCGACACCATGGTGATCGCGCCGAACGTTAGCGAAACCCTTCGTGCAACATCGTGGGTCACTGGCGGCCACTCGCCCTCCGTCGGGCGTCGCTCCGAGCCAGCCCGAGCCGGCCCGACCCAACCCGAGCCAACCCGACCAGCTCGACGCGACGAACGACATGGGGTGCGAGTTACCGCCTAATATTACACATCATATTTAGAGTAGCTCTAGAGCCATAGGCGTAGCATGAACATGCTCCCGGAATGTATTATAGTTTAGCGATAATTAAATATTATAATGAAAGGGATCATGCGGATGAATGGACGTCAGTCGGGCGTTTGACATCTACGGCGAAACGATTAATACTTTCAAAATAAGGTATGCATTATCAATCACAGCGAAGCGGCATTCACAATGTCGAGACGACGCAGTCGACCTCGCAAAGCACCGGCGTAACGTCGTATCTCATTGGAATATTTGTATGCGGAAAAGTCGGTTTCGGGGGGCGGCCTTCCGCTCACCAGGATCATGTCGGCGACTACGGACCAGGTGAGGTTGAGAGTGAGCATGCCGAAGAAGATGAGCGCGAAGGTCCCCGCGGCGGAGGCACGCACGGCGATCAGCGCACAGAACACGAGCGGCGCGGAGAGCAGCAGCGCGGCGCCGCACAGCAGCGGGTCGGCGTCGGCCACGAGGGGCCGCGCGCGCGCCGCCGCCGCGCAGCCCAGCGGCACGCCCAGCGCGCCCGCCGCCATGCCCACCAACCCGAACTTGTACGACACGCTGACGACCGCAACCGACAACACGCTCGTCATACAACCTCGCTTCTCTCGACCGCTCTAGCGCCACCGCTACCATTGCGATACTTAGCGACGCTTCGATCCTAATCTATTCCTAGCGTTACCGTTTTAAATTGCTGTATATTGTGAAGTCGCTTGTTTTCTTCACAAATTTTAAACATTTATTTTAACACTAGTGTACTAAATTTGTATTACATACACTCTTTATTTTTCATTATCCAAATCGACATAATATATGTATTCTATTCTATATTCTCGATATTAATAAAAACTATAAAACTGTAAATCCCCTCATGAAACCGCGTAAATATTTGTTTAGCGTAACAGGAAAGGTCATTGTGTATTTCCCGTAGCGTACCGAATATAAGTTCTGTATAACTTACAGGAAACATGCCTATTTAAGTCCATTCAGAAATCTAACATTTTACAATTTGTACTTTTAATAACTTCCCGACTAGCTCGTACAACAACAGCCTGTCATTTTATATTATATTCTCATTATTGTTATTTCATACCTTTCGAAGGAAAACTCGTTGCCAGGTTGCAAGCCGAGACCCAAGTAAATAACTTGCGGTCCCCACCATGTGAGCGCGCCGGTCACGAACGCTACGCACGTAAAAGCGATCGTCGACAGCATGAACGATGGACTGAAACACATAATGGAAACGCAATTAAGCCGATATTCATTTTTATGCATTACTAGCTGACCCGGCCGACTTCGTAGTGTCTCAATCTATAAATAAAAGACCTAAAGTTTTGTATAAAATAAACTTAAAACAAAGAAAAGGAATCCGTCCGACCGGAGACACATCAAAGGAAAAACACAATTGTTATTTTTATATAATTCCGAACATTTTCATATTTATCTACCTTTTAAACCTTCTCTGGACTTCCACAAATGATTCAAGACCAAAATTAGCTAAATCGTCCAGCCGTTCTCGAGTTTTAGCGAGACAGCAATTCATTTTTATATAGATATTCACGGTCCCCCCCTTATAATCTAATATATATACTAATGCTATGAGGCAGATATAAGACGATGATTTACCTAAAACATTTCCCAATACTATGAGAATAGGGGTCATGTATACTGGTGACTTACTTTTTTATGAGAGCACGCAGATCGTCCTTATACGAAGTGGGTTTTATGTGACTCTCTTCGGAGGCGCCTCGTTCCGGGTCTTCCATGACCCATATGATGAGCGCGACGGCAATCGCGCCAAAGAAAGGCGTCACCCGTAGACCGTATCGCCAATTGCCTAGCGCTGCACCCACAACTGACCCTACTATATATCCGAGACCACTGAAATAACACACAGTAATATGAGATAAAAAAATACATATAGGCAGCAGCCTGATAGCGTAGAAGGTAACTCAAATTTGCTTGGAGTTGAAACGTTTGCCTACGTTTGCCGCTAGGAGCGCTATTCCAACTGCATACAAATGTGAGTTAAATTTTACGTTATCGAGCGCGTAAAAAAACTCACACTAAGCACACAGATGACCGATTTGTTTACAAGATCAGCGAACGGCCATTGCACTGCGTTGAAGACACTCGCAACAAGATACGCAACCTGACCTTTTACACATTAAGTTGAAGATTAGCACTTAACAGATACTAGCAATGTCGATTATTACGTCTATATCGCACCGCGGTACAAACAAATATTCCAACACAACAATTAACTCCAAAGATGCAAATACTAATCCAAATCGACTTTTATTATTATTAAACAGATGCATTAAATGTGGCGCATTTAAGCTTTCCTGTCCTTCAACGCAGAAGGTATATTTAAAGTGTGACAGAAAAGCACACATCTACCCTAAGCCCTACTGGTACCCAACATATGAATAAGATGAGAAATATATTATGATATGATACATGATTTTAGTTGGACATAGGTAGAATATTAGGTAAAGTTATAAACCAATTATTTTGATACCGGTGCGTGGTACATGTGCAAAATTTCAAATTAATCAGAAATCTTCAAGTTGCTGAAAATTATAATATATAGATAGATGCAAATCAAACTAATAAAAGCATTAATTAATAGACTCCTTAGTTACTACTACTACCAATACAATCGACCCATAGAGTCCACTGCAGTATACAAGCTTTAGTTGGTGAACATTGGTGCCTAACTAAAAAATATAAAATTCCTAATGTGATTACCAAAACCTAGAATAGAATGAGAAATAACAAACTTACCTTCCGACTGGGATGGCAAAATAGAAGAATGCTAACATCTTCGATCTTACATCCCCCACGAAGAGATCGCTGATGATGGTAGGGGCTATCGTGGAGTACGAGGCTTCTCCAATTCCAACGAGACCACGGAAGAATGCAAACGACTCGTAATCCTTAAAAACCACAAAAAAATATTGATAACATCCTTATTCTATTAACTTTTTGACGAAACCTGCTTGAAACTTTCTGGGGATTATCAACATTAGAAATTTCAAATCGTGAATCATTTATTATTACCTTACAGCAAGATAAATTACGTCTAGGCATGTCTGAGTTTCGGAAAAATTAACAAAGTACTTACGTGTAAAAACGAGCCAAAGAAAGTTGTTAGACTCCAGAGTGCAACGCCACTGGCCATAATGACGCGCCTTGAGTATCTATCTCCTAAGTAGCCAAATATTGGCGCGAACAACATGTACGCGACGACGAACACTGTCTGTAGAAATCCAGCCTTGCCATCACCAATTTCGAATTCAGTTTTGACATTATTTAAAACACCTGCGGACGAAGAAAACTGTGTGTTAATTGTAAACAATCGCAATTAATATAACGTAACTACCTCGAATAACAATCAACACAATTTGAAATAGTTAGGAATATATGTACATATGTCTAAAAATTTATATTTTTATTTCTACAACTGACTGATTGTTGCTTGATATTGTATTGACATTTCTTCTTTTCTTTTTGATATGACATGACATTTATTAGACATTAATAATTAATATTTACTGTTATATATACAATTATTACTGTTTTACTTGTTGAGTTTGATGTTTTCATTGAGTATTCTTTTTTTTTATTATTGTATTCCACCTTCAAGCCGATGAATTGCCAATGTTATGTACGCCATTATTGTCACATGCATCAGGCCATAAATTAAATAGTTTAAGTTATTTTCAATGTTAAATGTATGTGATGTGGCAGTACTTTTTTAAATAAATACAAGTACATGCGTCATTTGCACGATTGAGTTAAAATTTATAATAGGTTAGCGTTTTCAAGACAGGTTTGTCATAGCACCAACATGAAATTTAAAATTGGCGGCGTGCGTTTCGTTTTAACAATTGAAGGTATTTCGTGAAAGTCACAGAACAGAGTTTGGCTTGTTTCAAATGAGAAAGTTTAAAATTAATAACAATAGTATAGAACGTCGTGGAGGTTAATTAGTTTTTTATTAATTGGCGCACCATTCCTGTTTATAAAGAATGATGCGTACCAATTCGAATAGTAACGCGATTATCTATTCTATGAATTCTTCATTGATATCTTCATGAATTCAAAGTCGTTGTGGCCTAAAGGATAAGACGTCCAGTGCATTCGTATCTAGCGATGCAACGGTGTTCGAATCCCGCAGGCGGGTACCAATTTTTCTAATGAAATACGTACCTAACAAATGTTCACGATTGGCTTTCACGGTGAAGAAATAACATCGTGTAATAAAAATCAAACCCGCAAAATTATAATTTTCTTAATTACTGGTGGTAGGACCTCTTGTGAGTCCGTACGGGTAAGTAGCACCGCCCTGCCTATTTCTGCCGTGAAGCAGTATGCGTTTCGGTTTGAAGGGTGGGGCAGCCGTTGTAGTTGTCTATGAGCTCCAGTAACCACTTAAAACCAGGTGGGCTGTGAGCTCGTCCACCCTAGATGGGCAATAAAAAAATTAAAATAAAAAGTAAGTGGACGATATTAACATTCGAGAGGTTGGTTCATAAGCCATATCATTATGAACCTCTCTAGTTTTTCCCTTCCTTCACGTCTGTATTATATTTTTTTTCATTGAAATAAAAATAAATCGAACGATTCACTTCTACCTGTATCATATAGCACATTGAGCTAAATTTAAAAAGTCAGTTTCACCTCTGCTCAAGAAAGTCTTGTCAAATAAGAACTTGACAACGAATATATCACTTTAATGATAAATTCTTTAAGTCCAGTTCTTCAACAGTAAAACTCAAACATGACTATGCGTATATCCGCGGTGACTGGTGATTAATTCAACATGGCCTTGTTAAGGTGAGTGGCCCCTTGTGATATTTTAATAAAGCATTTATTTACAAATGAACGTACCCGAAAAGGCAAGCAATCCTTTTTATATATATGAAATATTTTAAAGGCAAACGAATCTATTACTGCACAACTCAACGTCATTCATGTTTCAAACATGAAAATTAGATTGGTGAATATTATCGTCACTCGTACTTATAAAACGGAAGCAAAGATCAAAAATATATAAATTTCACAATCCCTCATACCTACATGTGTATTGATCAAATATACACATTAATGCCCAACTGATAACTCCTAGAAGCAAAAAATAAATACTTAACTAGCGATTGTTGACTAAAGGTGTGTCCGGAGAAGGGTGCGATTTGCAAACAACTGCATACGGGACTGGGCAATGCCCGATAAAGAGGACATCATCGAAATTACGAATGACAAATAAACCAGATAATTTAATCTGTATGAAGTTTATTAATAAATAATTAAAATCGGAAATATATTTAAAATATTTATTGGTATATTTATATATTATTGGTTACGAAGTTTAGATAAATTTATAACGCCCACCCAACCATGTTCAGAACAACTTTATTCTTTTAAAGTATTTTCATAATTTTTTATCACTTTTACGGAACATAGCTTTAAGTTTTTTTTAATAATTATGTACAGGGAAATAGGAAAATTTTACTGAAATACTATACATGCTAATGTTATAACAAATCGCAAGTAAACTTTACCCGGAAAATATTACGTAGCCGCCACACGCCTTTACCTATTACATTTTCAAACGTAAATCTGGTAGGTACTTTAGTCATTTTGGTAAGTATATCACTATGACAGTTCGATAAAATATTCTTTTATAAATGTGCCATATTCAAGCTCCACTGTTTATTCGCCGAGCCCCCGACCGTTAGTCGAACTATTGTTACTTTAGTGCCTTTATTTATTTTCTTTCGGGGCTCGTAATCGTTAAATAAGTACAATACTAACGAAGTACCTACTTTATATTTGTAATTTTATATCATAAATAATTGACAGATGCCTTTTTTTATTAATAATTTAGTAACTACTGCGTTATGGCTAACTCCGTAAATCTCGATACTAAAATTAGCCCTTTTGAAACTTCAGATTATAATCATGGTAATAGTCATATGGCGGAAAGCCTTTAGGAAGTATCTTTGATATTTTACGATTTACGAGTATTTAAATAATAATTATTTTTTTATTGCTTAGATGGTTGGACGAGCTCACAGCCCACCTGGTGTTAAGTTACTGGAGCCCATAGACATCCACAATGTAAATGCGCCACCCACCTTGAGATATAAGTTCTAAGGTCTCAAGTATAGTTACAACGGCTGCCTCACCCTTCAAACCGAAACGCATTACTGCAACACGGCAGAAATAGGCAGGGTGGTGATACCCACCCGCGCGGACTCACAACAAGAGGTCCTACCACCAGTAATTAGTTCATACACCGCCATCCTAAAACCATACACCATAGAATATCATAGGCAAACGGACACGTTAAATAAATTTAGCTTTTAATGACGCCAAAAAGTATAATATGATTCATTTTTCATTTATGATTCGTGAGGTATACGTGGCTATTGTTTTACGTGACACGGAAATAAAATTCAAACCAGAAAGGTTTCATACATACTAATGTATACCTAAAGCTTAACGAATATAAATTAATTATCTTAGGTATTTTGATTATACGGCAATTGTTGGCAAAGCATTATCTGTGCTTTCATCATACCGTTGACCTTCAGCGTCGGTGTGTGTTCGATAACGTAGCGTGGCATGATCGACGACGACGCGTCGCGTCGGTCGAATATACGTCACCACCAGCTTAGCACGTAGCGTGGGGGCAGCACCGCCGCAAGAGGTTGATTAAATGAAAAAAACCTGCGCGTACGATGGCTTTGCGCATCACGCCATTCGCGTGGTCCAATCAGAGTCTGAGAATGTGTGGCGCGAAGGCTGGTGCACACTGTGTACAGCGCTCGGCACCACTGACTCGTGACGGTGCCGCTGATTATCACGAAACCGTTTTTTAGTAAATATTTAATAAATATTAGAAATAATAAGGTATTTTTTGCGATTTTTAGTACCCACAGATTGCATCAGTTGGTATATTAGCAGGATGAAATCATCGTCAGCAAAAGAGAAATTAATTTCCAACGTAATAGAGATTTATGAAAAAATCATTAAGATTGAAATTAAATTCAAATACATCGAAGACTAATATTGATATTTGTTAAAATAATGTAACAATGTATTGATTATCATTTTCGTGATTGTCATCAGTGACTTCGTTGAAAGAAATGGATAATATTTTGGTCATAATCCTATGAGATTTCAAACTAAGTATTACTTCAACAAAATTAACAGCAAATATTGTTAAACTAAAATAATAGATTGTACATTTTAATTAATAAAGGTTCATTATTCCGATATTTTTCTGTCTATTGTACGTACGTCAATTTTCAACTATTTCACTGTTTTAATTATAATAGTAATTAAGTAGCAATTGTTTCTTAATATTACGTAATCAAGACAAACCGACTGAATATATTTCAACTTTTTTTGTTTGGGCTTTTCAATACGGTTTACGAAGTCTATATTATATTTATCGTTGATACATATTTAAATAGACTAAGACAAAACAGTTAAGTTCTGTTTTCACCTGTTTGTCGATCGATTTTGTTTTCTTACTCAGAACAACTCATTATTTTTCGCAGTAGTTTAAATGAAGTTTTTGTTAATGATCATATATTCTGCCAACGCGTTCACATGCTTTTTTTCGACACATAATACGTCAAAGTTTGATTGGTCCGAGTAGACTTCGAATAGAGCACGCAGACTCCCACTCAAAAGACACATCATAGATAGGATGTTCATAAACGTAGATACATTAATGGCCTGTTCTATTTTAGATTGGTCATTAATTTGTAGAAATGACTAATTCATTTCATTTTAGTAGACTTGGATCCCTGTTAAATTCCATAGAGATTACATTACAACAACTGTTTGTTAATTAATTACACATTAAGCTAACATAGTAAAGTAATAGTTTAACGTAAATTAATTACTTTGTGAAATACTTGTTATGTAAATGGTTTTATGTTGTTAACCAGCAAAGATAATTACAAAAATAAACAAGAGTGTATTTCTAGCACCTCGTGATGTCACTGCCAGGGCGTCTGCCAAGCGTCGACATTTTAACATTCCTATTGGTGTTTTTTTTCAAATCACAAAGACCTCTACGGCTATGTTCGTCATAACTGTAATTCATGTTTTTTTTTATTGCTTAGATGGATAGACGAGCTCACAGCCCACCTGATGTTAAGTGGTTACTGGAGCTCATAGACATCTACAACGTAAACGCGCCACCCACCTTGAGATATAAGTTCTGAGGTCTCAGTATAGTTACAACGGCTACCCCACCCTTCGAACCGAAACGCATTACTGCTCCACGGCGGAAATAGGCG